ATTTATTATTTATTCAATTATTTATTCATTTTGTATTTGTTTGTTTGTTCTTGGAATTGTTTATGCCAACAATAAAATTGCATAAAAGTATTTTATATATAGGAAAATTTTTTTAAGCTATATATATTTATAAATTATTGATAAATTGTTTATTTATACCATTTATTTATTTATTTATTTATTTATATTTGTTTGTTTAGTTATTTATTTATTCATTTACTTATCTATATTTGTTTATTTATTTATTTATATTTATTTATTATTTATTCAATTATTTATTCATTTTATATTTGTTTATTTATTCTTAGAATTATTTATACCAATTACTTATAAATTGTTATAAACTTGAATTATATTCACTGATTTGAATAATAATTTCAAATTGTTTATCAAAATGTGAAACAATTATATTTAAGCATTTCTTAATTTCTTTTCATTATATATTTTTATTTACGAAAAAAGAAAAAAAAACTCAAATATTTGCCTATCTTAATGTATTGTTATTTTTTGAAAAAAAAAATTGAAATTAAAATTTAAAATTAAACTTTTAATTTAATTCATTGTTATCGTTTTTTTTCCATTTTTTTTTTCCTCAATGCATTAATTATTCACTCATTAATCTTTAACTTTTTACTCATTAATCGTTTTTTACTAAAAAAAAAAAAAAATGAAAAAAAATTGATAGATATTTTAATTATAACATTCATGAATATTATAATATTTTCTATTTTTTTTCGTTTCAAATTTTTAAAATTATGCAAATTTTTGCAGTGGTAGTATTGCCTTATCAGCTCAAGATAATAATATCTTATCAGACGTTCTACCAAGAAAGCAATCCATTGTAAACGATAATAAAATTGCTAACATTGAACAAAGTGAAACGAATCAAAAAAAGGACGCACAATCAAATTTAATTGAAAATTCAAAATTATTAAAGCAAGAATCAAAAACAGAAGCTAACAAATCAAAATTAAAAAATTTGATCGAGAAGTGAAGAAGACATTTGTGGAGCGAAAATCGATCACTAAAAATATGGTATTTTTTTTTTTGTGTAATATTTTTTTTTGTTATGTATTTTATCGAACAATTAATTATTTATTTAATTAATGAAATTAATCACTCATTTAATTAGTTATTTAATTAATTATTCGTCTGATTAGGAGAAAAAAAATAGGAATTTTATAAAATTATAATTATTTGGAGTATACATGGTAACAATTAATTCATTTAATTAATAAAACTGATCATTTATTTAATTAACTATTTATTTTACTATTCATCTAATTAGGAAGAAAAAATTAGGAATTTATAAAACTATAATTATTTGAAGTATACATGGTAACAATTAATTAATTTGTTTAATTAGGGAAAATCAGGAATTTGTAAAAGTATAATTATTTGAAGTATGCATGATTACAATTAATTAATTTACTTAATTAGGGAAAATTAGGAATTTGTAAAACCATAATAATTTGAAGCATACGTGATCCCAATTAATTAATTCATTCAATTAGGAAAAATTAGGAATTTACAAAATTATAATTATTTGCAGTATACATGGTAACAATAAATTAATTCATTTAATTAGGAAAAACTAGGAATTTATAAAAGTACAATTATTTGAAGTATACATGATCACAATTAATTAATTTATTTAA